CAACAATTAAAATTAAAATCCACCATCATCTTTAACGCCGTCACCAGCTGATATAGCACGCACCTCCTCCATCACCTTTAATGCCACCACCAACATCGTATCACCGGTACCAGAAGTATCGCCACCATCATCATTCAACACCGGCACCAGCAAAATTGCACCATCAACATTCCACGCCTCTACCAGAAAAATCACCTTCAACATCGCCACTATTACTTAAGGCCACCACCAATATCACCTTCAACGCCGGCACCAGCAATGTTATACACATCCACATCAATGGTCCTCTGCAATAACTACACAATTCAAAATTCAAAAAATAAAAACTGTTACTACTGTTAAGTGGCTCTTGTCTGTAATCCTCGTCTAATCCATTTGCAACCTTATCTAAAGTAAGCAGTAAGGATTGCTAAAGTAAGTACTAAATATTAGACATGGATTCGACATGGATTAGATAGATATATGAGCCACTTAACAGTAGTAAGGGTCTTATTTTTTGAATTTTGAATTGTGTCGTTATTGCACAGGACCATCGATATGTACAAAGTATGTTATTTGTTTGAACATATGTACTATAAGAGTTTAGTATTAATAAACGTTTTTTAAATAAATGATTATTAGTGCTGAGGAGTTTATAACGACAACAATGAGTAGTTTGTTTATTAGCAATGAGGACTTACTAATGACAACAATGAGTACTTTATTCATTAGCACTGATGTGTTTATAAAAACGAAAATAAGCAGTTTGGTAGTTTCTAGAGCAGAGCAGANAAGTGCTCAGTTTTATCCCATCGCCTGAACAAAAATGAGTATTTTAATAAGCACTTTTGTAATTAGTGATAATGATAAAATGAGCACTTATTTGATGCTCAGCTGTCTTGCAGGGAAATCTAATTAGAGCTAGCAAAGCTACTCGTTGATATCAAGCGAACTTTACTGATTGTCAAAAATTATGTGTTTGTTGTACATTTGTTCATGTTTGTCATTGTGCGTGTAATTTTCGAGAGGAGGTTTTGTGCCCCCGTTATCACCTTGTATGAATTCGTCTTTCCTTGGTATTAGGGACGTTAATTTTTCAGCTTTTTCCGATCCCGGGATTTTCGGTATGTCGTTATCACAATCCCGGGATCCCTGGCATAGTTCTGGGATTTAGATATTCATTACTTTTCAATAACTTAAATCGAAAGAATTGCTTTTATATTGCTTGAGAAGCACCTAAAATAAATAATAAATAAATGGGTTTGAAACCTACTTTTTTAATTAAAGTGGCATTTTTATTTTTTCTCCGTCTGACGTCAGGATTTATTTTAAAGGACTTTGTAATATCAAAGATATGGTTGATTCCAAAAATTATTTGAAGAATTCAATGCAATGTATAATAAAAATATGGGTACCAAATGCAAAAGGAAATTTCTTTAGAAATTAAACAAATTAAAATTTTTTGGATTCACACGGACGAATAGGTAATTTTTCAAGCTGATAAAGTTCGAAGGACGAAATTCGAGCATGTTATCGAGTTTATATAAGTCCTTAACATGTAATCTTTTCAAAAACAAATACTTCTAAATTTAAAGAATAACATGTTAAAGGACCTTTTCAATACTTACCAGTCCTTCTGCAACAAAAGCTTGAATCTGCTTAAATTCTGCAGAATTTCCTCTTTAATTTGATGTCCATACTTCTTCCCTAAGCACATTTCTCTGAATTTTTTAAATAATTTTTGAATTACTGACGCCAGAATGAAAAACTAAAAGCGCTTCGCGAATATGTTGACATTTATAAAAAAATATTAACTATTTAATAAAAAAAGAAATATACCCAATACTGGTCAAGAAAAGTAGTTTCTATTATTTTCATCAGTGCAAATTACAAATCCCGAAAATCTCGGGATTATTTGCTAAGAATCCCGGGATTTTTGGGACCTCGAAACAGACGGGATCCCGGGATGCACTTAGTTTTTACTCAGATCTATGAAATGATTTCGTGCATTGGACTACGCATAAACGTGATAATGGTGCGTATAATTTATAAGGTAATGCTATGTTTTTATACTCTTTCTACCACATGAATATATGAATTCGTGATAAGAATATATGAATTCGCCTTGGAAGATAGAAAGCGGGTAAGAATAAATGCCGAACAAAGGAATTTGTCTTCTTTCAACTTAAATAAATGCATTTTGCAAGCAAAACCTCAAGCGTTACTTATTGCCTTGGTTATGGCGAATTCGTAAGGATATATTGATTGCATTATAAACATTTGCATTTATTTGCTAAACATACAATTACTTCCATTACAACCCGGTCCTATGGATGCTAGAAGCGCGAATTCATATAAGGTGGTGTTACCGGAAAAGGAATAAATAAATTATATGTATATCTGAAAATTAGTAAGATGAAATGAAATTATTGTTTGATTTCTAACCAAACCTATGTATGTAACTCAATCGCCTAATGGTTTGCCGAACCGTAAACATATGCTTTATACGGCTTATTATGTCGATTGCGCCAACCATAATTTAAACTGGGCCATGCATGCAAAATAACACTTATAAAAAACCGCATTTTCACCATGAAAGAAATTGTAAATTTATTCCGGCAGTCTACAAAAGCAGCTCAGGTGTTAAAAAATCGGATAAAAAGTGCTGTCCAACTGCAAAACAAACACGTCTCCTAAAGTTTTGCGAAACACGTTAGATGGAACACTTAACTCCCTTAGTCTGTTTTTTGACTTATATGAACACATTTGCTTCGCCTCATATGTTAATCACTTCAATAAGACAATCCCAATTTGTAGTTGCACTTACCACGACTAAGCCTATTTTTGCATTAACGAAGGCTCTCAGTGTGCCACTGCACGAAAAGGAGTGTGGTTTCAGCCGCTGTGTAGATTACGTCAAATATGTGTATACAGAACTAACCGATATGCGACAAAATGCAGAAGAAAACCTTAAAAGAATCTTCAAATTAGCTGAGGAGGAAGCAAATAAGACTGGTCTTATCTTAACTAAAAGTGTGCCACGTCGAGTATATCGTACAAATTACGACGGAAGCGTAGAAACCCCTTTTTTCGTTACCCAATTTTTATTCCCATACTTGATCATTATTTGGATCAAATAAATTTGAGATTTGTCAATCAAAAAAAAACTACTCAAAAATATTCAGAACATCTTGCCAAAGAAAATTCTTAAGTTGGACCCTAGTAGTTTCTAACAAAAGGAACAAGAGTTTGAAAAACACTGGCTAGATGTCTATCAAACAGCGACAGACGATTTCATTGCTGAATTTACAATGTGGTGCAGGTGTACCTTTTTTTCTTCAAAACTTGATTTTTAACGATGGCCTTTCTTTCAGGTACTGGTCTAACATTAAAAAAAGAGCTACCTGAGACTTTTGTTGACACCTTGAATCAGGGTGATAAAAGTCTTTATCCGACCATTTTTTAGATTTGAAAATAGGTTAACACTTCGAAGGTTGAAGACCTGTTTGCGCAGTAGCATTGGGCAGGAGTGATTGGTTTGGTTGGCGCTCCTAAACGTACTGGATCTGCAGGTTAATCCTCAGCAAGTGCTAGATGAACTGGCAAAAAAAAAACCAATGAGATTCCATTTTCAATTTAAAAATAATGTATAAAATAAATATACTTAATATAATAAAAATAATAATTTTCCTAAACAGAGTTGCAAATTGATTTTTATCCGTGCGGCAGTAATGCCGCTTTTATTAGATACGTGTCTCGAACAGGCCCAATGCTTTCATTAGGTTATTTAAGACGGAAATGGAGTAGCGGCCGCTGCCGTGTAGTGGGAAGCAGTGCCCGCTTTACTCCGCAGGTCCTGGGTTCAAGCCCTGGTCAAAGCAACATCGCAAAAAATATAGAAAAAACGTTTTTTCTTAACAGCGGTCGTCCCTCGGCAGGCAATGGCAAATCTCCGAGTATATTTCTGCCATGAAAAACAGCTTCTCATAAAAATACAATCGCCGGTCGGAGTCGGCGTAAAACTGTAGGTCCCTCCGCTTTGTGTGACAACATCAAGGCGCACGCCACAATTTGGAGGAGAAGCTCGGCCAAACACTAACATATGTGTAAGCGTCAATCTAAATCTAATCCATTTATAAACTATTGCTGTTTTTTCATAATATTTTTTTATAAAACGGCATCAAGCTCAATGAACATTGCTAAATAATAATTTTTAATAATTTTCATTTAAAATATAATTCAATCTATAATAGGAACCACATAAATAAAAGTTTCAAACCTTGCACAAATTCAAAAAAATTAACTGAACTAAAAAAAAAGTGTCATCAAAATTTCAAAATTTTTAATTAGAATATTAAAAAATTTTCGTGTATTCAAGCTTCAAAAAAATTTCATCAAAATTTCAAAAGTTTTAATCAGAATATTTAGAAAATTTTCATGTATGCAGTTTTTAGCGCATCCTATTTTAGCCTAATAAAGTACAAGTCGTTCAAAAATGACATTGATTTTTTAAAATTATTTTTCTGCAGGGTGTTGCGCATTTTCTTCCATATAACATGATCAGAATCTATTTTATTATGAAGAAAAATCCGCAACACCCTCCACAAAAAAAAAATCTAAGAAATCAACAATAATTTTTAATAATTTTCAATAAAAATTTCAATATTTTGAAATTTGAATACAATTTTAAATTTGTGCACGCTTTGAAACTNCACTCCATTACGCTAAAATTGAATGCGCTAAAAATCTGATTAAATTTTTAAAATTTTGATGAAAATATTTTGAAATTTGAATACAATTTTAAATTTGTGCACGCTTTGAAACTTTTATTTAGGTTGTTTCTGTTATAGATTGAATTATGTTTTAAATGGAAATTATTAAAAATAAATAAATGAACATAAGTTGCAAACAATATCACTTTGTGGTAATTCGTGGTAATTGATTGATATGGATAAAAATTTAATTACAGTTTTATTTTTACTCAAAAAGTACGACCAAGCGGGACCTTATAGATTACTTACATTAAGGTCATTTAGATCCGTTTGCATTCTTGATTGTTTGTTAACTATGTCGGAATAGTGATCTTTAAATTTTTCCATGTCAGTCACTATCGCTTCAATTTTCGCTCCGAAGTCTGCCACTATTTTTTCTTCCTTGGCATAATTTTGCTGAGTATCTGCGAATGCTCTATATTTTATGAAATTAGTTCGCAACTTTTCTACTCTTTTTTCCAATTCATATAGTCGAATAGTAGCCGCTGTCTGATTTCTTTCCAATAAAGTGGATAATTCGTGCCATTTCTGAAGAGTATCTGGCAAATCCTGATTCATGCGAGCAACTAAAATATCATGAAAAATGTATGGTGTTAAAAGAGAAATATTAATAGGAAATTCAGGTACTATAAGTATACAAATCTAATGTCCGCTGTCCCAATCAATTTTGAAAATTAATCAGATTGTCAAAATTTAAAATAGGAAAATTGTCAAACAAAACTATTATTTTTTAATTTCAACACTCTGAGAAATTTAAAATTGATTGGTTATAGTTAATTTATGAGAATTACGTAAGCCTTTTACCTATGTACATATGTATGAATGTATGTATATGCAAGTATTTACTCAGAACAAAATCAATGTGCCGAACTGAACGGAGAACCGTACTTCAGCACCCTCTCCGGCAAAAATGTTTTGAGAGCAAATAAAAAGTTTTCCAGACAAGAAAGGTGAACCCGCCTTTACAGCTGATATACAATGCCGGCGAACGGCGAGCACACCACAGTGAAATTCGCACTGTCAAAATTAGAACACCCGCAAGCATATGAAATTGAACACAGTAAAGCGAAATACGAAGTTCGCTCGGCGGTGTTTCATGGCGATAGATATATTTCTATCGCCCTGCTGGGCGATGACATCTNTAAAGCGAAATACGAAGTTCGCTCGGCGGCGTTTCATGGCGATAGATATATTTCTATCGCCCTGCTGGGCGATGACATCTGTGCGTGCTTTAAAAAAAAACAACACAAACACGAATTATTTTTGTTGTTTGAAAAATATAGTTGTGGATTCGTTAAATCTGGCTTGAAACAAAATAAATAATAATAATCTTTCTTTCTGTCGGCCGCTGTGGTGTAGTGGTAAGCAGTGCGCGCTTCCACTCCACAATACCTGGGTTCAAGCCCTGGTCAAAGCAACATCGCAAAACAATATAGAAAAAAGGTTTTTTCTTAACAGTAATCGTCCCTCGGCAGGCAATGGCAAAAGTCCGAGTGTATTTCTGCCATGAAAAACAGCTTCTCATAAAAATACAATCGCCGTTCGGAGTCGGCGTAAAACTGTAGGTCCCTCCGCTTCGTGTGACAACATCAAGGCGCACGCCACAAATCGGAGGAGAAGCTCGGCCAAACACTAACATATGTGCAAGCGCCAATCTATTATTATTATTAATCTTTCTTTGTTTTACATTCATATTTGTTATCATTTCCTCATTTCTAAATATGGTTTAGTTTTTTCTAAATATGGTCACCCAAACTATAAAGGCGACCAGCTGGGCGAACGGTGAACGACAGCATCGCCCAATTCGGCGAAGTTTGCCGTTCGCCGGTATTATATTTCAAGCATGACTCAATTTGTTCAAATAAATTTAAGTGAAAGGTATGAAATTTTAAGAAAATTTCTTAGTTTTTATGCATTATGAGGTGGGTTTTGTCGAAGGCTGAGGTGAGCTCAGCCGATCCAGAGTCAGGCGAAGGTCCCACTAGCCCCACCAAATAAAACACAATATTATCGTGTATTTAATTCGAGTACTCACATACACTGCGCTCACGATTCAGAGAATACAAAGGTTGCGCCCATTTCGGACCGCTATTCCTCTCTTAACGAATTTGACAGAATCACACTGGTGCAATTGTTGATTTTGAACTTAACAATTTATTTGTGTGTTATTTCTGCGAGATTTTAAGCGGTTTAAAGCGATTGTTTAAACTTTGTAAACTTTTGTTAAAGCAAAATGAAGTGTGCAGTGGCAGATTGTGATAGTGAAAATCATAGGCAAGCGTGCGATATAAGCTTTCGTTTCCTATGGACGAAGCTCTCGTCAAAAAGTGGATGCAGTTCTGCCGGCGAGGAAGTGCATTATTGAATCCCAAATTGAGCTACGTGTGCATGAAGCACTTTTCTAGTGAAGATATAGAAAACAATTTACAGTTCGAAATGGGTAATTTATTGTGTATTTTCTAAATTGATACCATTTAATATTATTTTTGTAAACGCTTAGGATTTTCAAAACAAACTCCTTTTAAAGCGCGCTGCTGTGCCCAGCATTTACCCAGAGGATGGGGAAACCTCCCAGCGTGCCAAAAGCGTACAGCGCGAGCAGTACAAACAAATTGTCAGCGAGTTACTTCAGCAGAGTGAATATGCTGCAGTCAGTGAAGGTAACAATTTCAGTTTAAAGAAAGTTTCGACTTATATTTGCAAATAAGTTGTTATAGCCGAGGCGAATAACAGTGCCAACGTTGTTCCGATTGACGAAAATGTGGAGAATAAGGAAAATAGCCTAGTAGAGGAAAATCTTTCCGAGATCCACACGACTTCAACTTCTCGCAAAGTCTTCTACTACGACAGCAGTTTGGAGGAAGTTGAGGAGCTGGAAGCAAAACTGTAAGTTTGTAAAAACTATAAGGCAATATAAACATGTTGGCATATTCTTGTGTTTAAATTTTTTATTTTATGACACGTAGAGAAAGACTGAAGCGAGAAAACAAGACTCTGTTAATCGATAACAAAAAGAGGGACACAGAACTTGCGGCACTCCAGCAAGAGTACGACAAGCAGAATAAGAAGCACGACTATGAGGTGCAACAGCTAAAAAAGCGCTTGGAGGAGTACGAAAATATGTGTACAAACATGGAGAGCAAATTGCAGACCATTTTCACGAAGGGTCAGGTTGCGAAACTGAAGCACGGCATTAGGAAACCTACTTGGACTCAAGAAGACATCTCGCATTCCATCACGTTGTACGCCGCCAGTCCAAGAGCTTTTAAACTAATGTACAAAATAGGTTTTATTTAAGCTACCAGGCGTTCGCACGCTACAAAAATGGGCACAAAAAATACACGTATCCAGAGGTTTGATAAAGCCGGTATTGAAATTATTAAATGCCTCCACGCAAATTAATACTATTCAAAAGGTGTGTGTTTTCAGTTTCGACGAGATGGTCAGTCAGACTAACTGTTATGATACCTCGTCGGACTCAACACTGGAACCTGTCAGCTATATGCAGGTAGCGATGCTCAGAGGTAAATATGTATATCTTGCACAAAGGATTTATAAAAATTTAAATTTTTACATTCATTTTATTCGTCAGGACTGGTATCTAAATGGAAACAGCCGGTATTTTACGACTTCGACTGCAAAATGACAAACGACGTGCTTTGTAATATATTACAAAAAACTAAAGATTGCGGGTACAATGTTGTAGCGGTTGTGTGCGATCTTGGCGCACAAACAGGCCTCTGCTTAACGAGCTCGGAGTGCACGAAGACAGGCCGTGGTAACAGTGTTGCCAGAACTTTTCAGGGCGACCGGCTAGATTGGACAAAAAAAACGGCTAAAAACGGCTAAAATGTTTCAACCAGAATTAATTTTTTTTTTTAAATACATAAACTACAATTAGAAAGAGTAGTAAATCCATTGAATTTTTTTTGGTTAATAAAGATTATTTATACGTAGCTAAGCTGTACACCACTTTATTTTTTCTTTAACAAAGGAAACTGTCGTTATACGTAGCTAAGCTTTACATCAGAAGTCATGTTTGTATTACTTAAATATAAAAACAGAGATAAATTACAAACTTATGGCGCTTTCTTTTCTATTAAACAATTTTGCCTTCTAATAAATAATGGATCATTTTCAGTAGGTTGCTTTTTGTCCCGCAAAATTGCTATATTAGCTGAGAGTATGACACTTTTGATTAGTCGGAGGGCAATATTTTGAGAAATGAACACGTAAAGCTGTGAAAGCAGAAGGTCGTTTAATTTATTGACATTCGTTGTTGTTGCCGACCACTTCACTTTTAACAAGTTTATGACATTTAACTAAAATCATGCCACCAGATTCACTAGCAGAAACATTTTTCTTTCTTAAAAAAGTAGAAAAAAATTTGAAGCTGGATGAAAATATTAAAAGTGTTGCGCGTTTCCAAACTGCCAGAATTCGGTACACCTGAGCAAACGTTCGAATATAAAGTTTTTTGCTTTTCCGAGGTAGGGTACGTAGGTTGATAACAAATTGCTGACGCAAAATATCTTTAAACCTCTGAAAGATGTACCATTATCCGTGGAACAGGAAAGAGGTCGAGTTAAAATGATGCCTGCAACTTGTAACAGTACCAATTTTTGGATTCTCGGAATTTTCTGATAAAGATGTGGTGCTGCTAAAAATATATATACAAAAATATAAGCACGAAACTATGTATTTGTCACAAGAATTATCCACATAAGATGAAAACTACTGCAGTTTTATTTTATAAAATTTAAAAAGTATGTTTGCACCATGTATTGTCTTCCCAGAGAGTTTTGCTCTACATCGAAATTCGTGCTCTTTTATTTTCAAAGTGTAGCGAATAAAACTTCACACCTAAATTTGAGACATTCATAACAAAAATTTTATGAAGAAAATTCCCGCTACGTTCTCCCAAATATAAACTGGGACGCAAAATTGAAGCAAGTTTTGCCTATTTTTCTTTAGTTTATTTAATATTTATTATTTTTTATGAATATGTAGCTCATTACTTAACAAACAATATATACTACAAACAGATTTCACACTTGTTGTAAAAATTATGAAAATTCTGCAAAATTTCATCAAAACTTGTAACTTTTTAATCTGCTAAAATGACGCCTCCCAGTTTATGTGTATTTGGGGCACTCGCTTAAAACAAAAAACATTGAAATCGGCTCACTATCTGATTGTTTTTCAATTTTATATAACACAGTCCGACATGAAAATGTTCTCAGAGATAAGACTAGCCATTTCTAATAGATTTTGGAGCACTAAATTTGTAAAATTAAAAACTTGTATATTTGAATTTTAATAAAATAAGGCAAAGAGCAAAATCGGCTAAAAACGGCTATTTTTTTTTTGCAAAACGGCTAAAAAATCGGCTGCCGGCTAAATCGAATTTTTTCCGGCTGTTTGCTGTCGCAACCGGCTAAATCTAGCCGGAAAACGGCTAAAATGGCAACGCTGCGTGGTAAGTTTAACAAATTATAAATTGCTTTTTTAGTTAATTTCACATTTTGTAACATATTACGCCATTATAGGTTTGTTTTTGACGAAC